TTGTTTGTCAATCTTGACGAGTGCTATCGCGCCGCTCGGTTCTCTTCGCAATCAATTAAGACAAGCGTTATCACTCCGTTCGCCACTTTTCGACCGTTTTCTGAATATAACCCCTGGGACTCAAACGGTTAATAAAACAACAGCTGTGCGACGGAGCTGCATTCTTTTTAACCAACTAAATCAACCGACCTGTAATGATGATTAGCGTGCATCGACTCATAAGAGTGAAAATCTAGAATTCACTTGGATTTTGTAAAGTTTTAATTATGAGACTTGTTTCAATAATATAATTTATTCAATCATTTTTCACGGAGAAGTCTCCAAAGCTTATAGTATCGTAAAATAAAAAATCGGTCATTTCGACTATGGTAGGTTTAATGTTAAAGTTCATCGGACCGCGCCAAAGAATCGGCTAGTTTCGTTTGAAGCGCGGATCTCGCGCCCGCAACAATCGTCGATGATTTAAACAAGAACACACGCCGCTCTCCGCATCGCGCGGAGTTACTTTCGGCGACGGAAAATCGAGAACGATCCGTTAGTTGTGTCGTGACGCCAATCAAGTTGTCGCATTGTCGCGAGATCGCTCGAAACGGCGCGCACACGCCGCATAACTGGCTAAATAAATAACGCCGCGCCGCGGATGAGCGTTCGTAAATTCGAACGAGACCGTGGAAAAAGGTTGGGGAACGCCGCGAGACAGGAACGGGATTGATGAAAACAATAACGCCGGGGCAAAATTAATTGCGCCCGGTGAAAACCGATATTATCAATCCGGGCAACCTCATTTCGCTTGCCCGTTAACTGGCCCCGGCGACCGGCCGCCGCGCGACTGCGTCGAACAATTACACCGGCCTGTGTTTTTCAAGCAATTTTCAAACATTCAGCGACTTACTTTCCGCGCTGGTCCACCCCGGCGACCTAATGGGTTTTCGATTATTCAGCTCGCGCGCGTATCGATGTCCCGATAATTCCAGCAACGCGCGCTCGGCTCCGATCCGCTCTCGATCCGCTTCGCTCGACTCTCTCGCGCGCGTCGTCGAATAAAATCGCGACTTTATTGCACGCGGCCCGACGGCGATCGCGTGGACCCGCTTGACCGATTCGGCGGGGAAGAATCATATCTCGCTGAGAAAAGCAACGACACATCGGCGTCGCTCTGGAAGGGTTGGACATTTTATGGGATTCCGGTCGATTTGCGGCGACGCGTGCACGCAGAGCCGATCGGCTCTGGATGCTCCGGTCGATTTGGCTCGAACGCGATCGCGAAAAGATCCGCCGAACGTGCCGGCATTGTCGCGATTCATTTGCCGGCCGTGGGTTTATCGGCCGTGACTGTTTCGCGGCAACAAGTATTAGGCGGATAAATTAATTCGTCGCCCCCGCGATTGTGACTTTATGTTAAACGCGCGAGCCTTGCGCGCCCATTGTGTGTCGCCGCGTATCTCTCGGAATCGGGTGAAACGTCGCGTAACTGGATTATGCCGGCAATACGGGACGCGGAATATTGTTCGAGGACCAATCATCCGTACCAATCGTTCGTTCGGCGTCAACTTATATCGCCGGTTTTGTGTACGTTCCGCGCGAATCCGGGAGCGGATCTCGCGCAGAATCGAATGTTAATTGACCTGGAACGGTGCGCGAGAGATGCGAGAGAAACGAATGAGCGAATCAAAGAAGCTGTGGTTGGTTGGAGAACAATTTGGAACGTTGAAGAACGTTTTTGATGATGATTTAACCCTTAACGGTCCAATGCCGTTATACACGCGGCAGAAATCAATAAAACCGTAAAATCTGGCAGGAAACATTGGAAGAATAGGCACGATTGTTTCGATGAAAATATATCAACGAAGTTTTATTTTTAAAAATGAATATTTCTTCTCTATATTTGATAGAAAAATTTTCAGTAAAATATTTCTCTTCGTTTGAAAAACAGTCTGGACTTGTCAGTGTGTAAACTGGAAATAAATAGTTTTGGTCCCCTAAGGGTTAAGTCACTGTTGTGCAATGGAGCATCGACGTTGTACGATATATTATAGTAATTAACCGAATGATGACTCTAAGGCACCACTAAAATTTGTTGTATCACGCTTTAAGGTAACTTTTATATTAAAGAAGTTTAGATTTAAAAAATTGTTGAAAGTGTAACTGTTGTACGAGTTGCCGCCGATATTACAAGATTCGAAACAATTTTGCATAAACGATTCTCGGTCGGTATTAACACATTTTTTTTATCGACAATTCTACAATATCTCGGCGTAAGAACACGAGTTGACCGATCAATAGTGAATTAATATTAACCCTTTGCACTCGAATGGTGACTCTGAGGCGCCACTAAAATTCGTTATATCACGCTTTAAGTTAAATTTTATGTTAAAAGAATTTAGATTTAAAGAATTGTTAAAAGCGTAACCGTTGTGCGAGTCCCAAGTGTCGATTTCATGCGCATAAAATGCATTTTGTCGTATAAAATAGAAATAGTTAGAAAAGTTAGGAAAATGATTTTATATTTAGAGTTAAAATAGCTACGAGTACAAAGGGTTAAGACACTTAGTGAATGCATACAGTAATTAATTAATACAGAAATTATTCTAAAAGAATATAGAAATGCAGAAAAATTAGTTCAGCACTATAGAATGATTTTATATTTAGAGTTAAACTAGCTTCGAGTGCAAAGAGTTAAGACATTCAATGAATGCATACAGTAATTAATTAATACAGAAATTATTCCACAAGAGTACAGAGGTGCAGAAAAGTTAGTTGAACACTATGAAACACTATGAATGCTCTCAAGAATAGCAACGCAGAATTGATTAGAACTTCTCGCCATTTTAGTTTCAACCAGACCGCGAATTTTATGCGTTCACGGCAAAAACGTGTGCGCCGAATGGAAAAAAGAAAACAGCGAAAGCATTCGAATCATTTTCAAGTACTGTTCTATTACTTCGGAATTCTTCGAATGATTAATAACAGAAATAAATGTCGAGCCGCAATCGATGCGGGTAAATTTTATTTCGCACAAAAATCGGCGATCTAGTTACAACGCGCGCTCGACTTCGAGGAGATTTATTCGGTCGTTTACTGCGAGATCGTGTCTATAATACGAAACAATTTTAAAACAAGTTTGTCAGGTTCAGTGTTAAGTGTACAAAATCGAGAGAGAGAGAGAGAGAGAGAGAGAGAGAGAGAACCGCGGAGTCGAGATTAAAGAGAAACAAAGCTGCGTTTACGGTGCGCGTAAAAAGTAGCGAAAATTTCGAGGCTCTCGCGAATTTCGCGATCGAGCGAACAATTTCGAAAGCGCGAACAAATTCGAAGAGAGACCGAACCTCGACGAGCTTGTAGCAGAAAGAAGTGTCAGTAACGTCGCCGAATCGAAAAGAAGCTCGCGAGCCGAAATTGCGATCGTATTTCAATGCTGCGTATAACCGAGTCGCGCGAGACAAATCGCAGAAGAATGTCCCGAGCCGAATGAATTCGCGTGGCCGATAAATCGTCGGTTTGGCCGACCGGTGAACGCGGCTTTATCGCGCCACAGGCTGCGGAATTCGCGGGCCGGCATAAGAATCGCTTTATTTGCCGGTCCGCAGCGGTAGCCTAATTTGAATAGCAATGACGCGAGCGGTTTCCGAGGCAAGTCGAGCGTAAGCGCGGCCTTTTTAAAATACGCTTTCAGGGGGCATTCGGGGCGCAGCGGGAGTTCCGAGATAAAATCCGTCTCCTAATTTCGTCGAACTTTCGAAAAACAAGAAAGCAAGAGAACAAGAGAGAGAGGAAGAGAGAGAGACGCGTTCGTGCTAGCACCGTTCGTCAGCGAGCGGATCGGAAACGCGGGGCGCGCGCTCGCTCGAATCGGAGCACGCCTAATTCGAGAGCACTCCGGGGCCAAAGCTCGTTAACCCCACGAAATATTTTCCCAGTTCGTTTCCGCGGAGCGGATACCGCGAGCCGCCGGTGTATCGGCCGGATTAAGCTTTAATTAAAGAACCTTCGAAAGCCAGCGTCGCGAGGAAACAGTTTCGAGCACCGTTCTTCGGTCCTCGAGTGAACGCGTTCTCGCGCACCATCGGCAGATTCTTCTCGCTTTACGGGGACATCCTGTTCGACAGCGCCGCTAGTTTTCCGTATAAAATTTTGCTCCGTATGGCAACGGATGCTGCCGCGAAACGGAGCCGCGTTTTAACGGCCCCTTTGCGCGACCATTATCGAGCGAACGCGACCGCCACCCTGTTGCGATCCCGACGCGAGCACTCCGATCGTTCTTCGCAATAATTCTCGTGAAAAACCGGGTAACCGTGGCTCCCGAAGCAACGGAGGAATTCCCGTGGAATAGCACCGCATCGTACCGCGATATTTATTTATTCGCTGCGCGCACGAAGATTCGGTGCATCGGCCTCTCGAGAAGGAACGCCGAATGCGCGCATTACGGCCGCTGAAGTGGCAAGTTGTTCGCAACAGTACGTAATATCTCGCGTGGGCGATGCATGCTTAACCGTTCGAGTCCCAGGGGTTATTCGGAAAACACGGTCGAAAAGTGGCGAACACAGCGTAATAGCGCTTAATCGATTGCGAAGAGAACCAAGCGGCGCGATAGCGCTCGTCAAGATTGACAAATAAAACGAAAAGAAAAAAAAATAAATAAAAGCACTTCGATCACGACACAAGATCTGAACAGCGCGATCGCGCTGCTCGGGACTCGGACGGTTGAACAAGCTGCCCGAGGAAAATGTACCGGAAGGATCTTCTTCTTCTCGGTGCAAAGACGATACAAAATCGAATACCCCGAATCAAAGTCACCGAAAGATGACACAACGTTTCCCAATAATTTCCGCTAGAATTTCAAACGATCGATTCTCGCGCGCGACTCGTTTAACAATGCATCGCCTATCTGCGACTGTCATCGCACGATCGTCCCGGATCGACGGACCGATCCGAGCGTAGGAGCGCCGCTCGCCCGAAGACATCCGGGCCTGGATAAGGTCGAACGTGAAAAATCGACTCACTGACTAATCGACGAATCCCGGGCTGCGTCCTCCGACAAATCCACTCGCACGGTAACCCGCGGGACTTGAAAAGTATCTTCCGGGTCAGAGAGCGGTGTATCACTTGGGCGACACTAGAACGGCACCGCACTGTATATTATCACACTGGTCGTTCGGATCCACGCGGTTCTACGACGAGGTGGTGGGTCGGGGTGGTCTCCGCGACTGACTGGCGGACGATCGAGGGGATCACCCTGGAGGACGACGATCCGCTCGGTACGGCGCCCGGTCGCAACACTGTCGCGATCAACCCTCTCGCGATTAACAATCCCCCGGCGGCGACGCGTTCCGCGCGGTCGAGTTCGTCGGCTCGATGATCGACGGTGGATGGAGATGCTGCCGGTGTCCCGCGAGCGGCGGCTGTATCATATCTCTCAGCGAGCTCGGATGATAGCTGGCAGAGCCGCGTTGCACACCCTCAGCAAACGATCGAACACCGAGGAGCCCCAGCGCGCGCGGCTCATGTCGGCCAACTGACTCGGAGCGGAGCGGAGCGCAGAAACCTCGGGGCCCTTCGCCTCTCGGGCGCCGGTGCTGGCCGCGGCGTGGTGCTGGTGGTGGTGGAGACGCCGGCGACGGTGGTGGTGTGTTGTGCCCGATGGTGGTGGTGGAGACGGCGACGGTGGTGGTGGCACTAGACCAGCTAGTGGAGGCGCTACGGGACCCGAGCGGAGAGCGCCGCTTGCTCGCTGGTGGGAGCGAGGATGCTGGAGCAGAGCGGAGCGACGCGACGCGGACAGGCCGGAGTCCGGTTAGAGCTGTCGAGAAGAGCGGATCGCTTTCGGCCACCGGATAACTGTTCTTACGACCCGGTGGAAGGGGGAATGAGTTCCTTTGTCGGCTCCGGGACCGCGGACCCTCTTCTTCCTCTTCCTTCGACGTTCTTTCGCACGGAATGTCAAGGTTCGATCTGCTTTTTTAGAGCGTGTACAGACAAGCTCGAGGATCCGGCTGTGGTGTCTCGGACGAACAGGGTCGCCAGGAAATTAGCTTGCGAATGGAGGGTGCCTGCTGGCCGATTAGTTCGCGTGGATACAAGGCAGTTTTTGGGTCTTACGGACCAAGCTGGTTCTGCGAGATACTTCGTCGTCCTGTAATTTTTATTGGGGTCGCAGGGCGTGCGAGATTCGCAGAGCTTCTGTAGGGATGCCGTGGCTGATAAGAGACAGTCTAGGGCGGATTTTTCGACGACCCGCTAGGGGATGACCGTAATCTGTCTTTGAACTGTGATCCGATCTTGCGTTTGAAGATTAGCCCCGAGCGGTCCTCCGAGAAGGTCAAATTGCAACGTGGGCATTATTTTCTATCGAAAATCATCCGGAGGGTGTGTGTACAGACGGGGTGGGATGGACCGTGTTACTTGGAACGTCGCGTTGATCCCTTACTGCTACACCTATTAAAAATTGCGTTGTTATTGATATAGAGAGTGTTAAATGTAAAATCAAACTTAATCGTTCTTACCTTGTTTTTACCTAAGTTATTGAACGGAGGGGTCCAAGCTCGATTGAATGGAAAGAAAAGTGTATAGAAACGTTCCTCTTTTCACGATTCTTCTTACAATTATTTTCATGATAACACTTCTTACAATATTGTAATAATCCTTCTTGCAATTGCATCGCCTCCTCATCGGACTGCAGATCTTACGCACTTATGGTACTTATGGCAAAAATGAGTGGCTGAAATAGAAATTTGCGAAGGCATAAAAAGCATTTCATAATTTTATTAAGCTACTTCCATATCGAAATTATTAAAAAAAAGCGATTTATTTTCATTCAATTTCTGTTTCCAGCGATCGCCTTTGAAAATGTCCATTCTTTATAAAGATCCGCAATTATACATCACAGACGAATAATCGTAATTATTAGCCGTCTCGCGGATCGGCAACAGTAGTCAAGGGTTGAATTTGTTGCGTTAAGGGATGACGAAAGCGAAGATGATGCACGTGCGATCCGTCGGCGGATGATCGTTTCTGTAACAAATGATGCTGCAAACACACGGCAGCTCCGGAGGAAAAAAAAGCGGATCGCGAAAGAGCGGGGGAAGGTGCTCGCTGGCGAACACCCCCAGCGATCGGAGCACGCAAAAAACGAGTAATTAACGTCACCGAGTCTTCCAATCAATCGATTCCGCGCGCAGAAAAGGCAGAATCTAGCGGGGACGGTGCGCGGCGTGTTTGCTCTGATAATGGCCGCGCTAACGAGACACCGCGCGTCTCGAAATCGGGCTCTGTCGATATTAAACGGCACTGTATATTTGATTACAGTTTTGCTAATTGCGTGCCGGCGTTGTTCCCTTCCGCCTCCGGTCCGTCGGCGCCGCGCCGCGCCGCGCCGCTCGCTCTGTTCCCGATCGCGAGCCGATTCGCAGCGGTCCTCGTCGCTCTTTCCGGCGGATCGATCGTAGCCGAACGACTTCTGGCTTCGCGGGGGTTCGTCGGAGAAGGACGGGGTGAAAGGGGGACGCGACGCGGCCCGTAGCCGAGCGTTATTAAATTATTCTGGCGTAACGGTGAATCTACCCGCAGATATAAATTGACACCGACAACGCCGATTCCGACGGGACGGCGCGCGCGGACCGACGACAATCGGGCCAGGTACAGCTAAATGCGAGCGTAACCCGTTTCACCTACCCGCGAGAACGGGGGCTAAATTCCTGTTATTAATGGATTTGTTTGCGGTGCCTGGCTCCCAACGGTCAATATTTATTTATCCGGGGCGAACGTTAGCGCTGCGACAAGTCCTGCCCAGCGCCGACAGGACCGCGCGAGTCAGGACTCGCGCCGGCCGGATAGAGGGCCGAGGGGTCAAGGGGTCAGGAGGGGGGCCTCCCTCCCGGCGCAGCACCGTAAATAAATGGCCGGCGTATTTATTTGGTGAAAAAACAAATTTATGCACCGACCGAAAACGCGGATGTTACCGCGGACCGCGGACCCGAGGAGAGTTCTCTGATTTCCCGAGCCCTCTCTCTCTCTCTCTCTCTCTCTTTTTCTCTCTCTTTTATCAGGGGTCAAGGCGAGGGGAACCGGCCGACCCTTTGCCCGCGGACGGCGCGTTAATCTTTTAAGGACGTGGCCTTGACGGAGCACGGTTGAATCCTTCTGCCTCGATACCCTTGAGTTTCCGGCGCGCTCTCGCGCCGCGATTCAGCACCGAATTTGCTTAAATTCACGGCTACCCTGTGGCCACTCCGCTGCACTACTTACGCTCCAGGTGTTCAATTATGCGGCCGGTTTTGAAGAACGGACACGGGATAATTCGAGTAGGCGTTTTGCTGTTTCTCTAATATTTGGCGCAGAAATTGAAGTCGCGCCGAAATGCTTAATTTTATTCCTTTTAGCATAATTTTATTCCTTTAGATGCCAGTTACTGTGTGACAGATACTTTGCTGTCGTTACTGGACTGCGGCTTTTTAAATTTGTGACAAAAATGTGTAGATCCAATGCAGAAAGCATTGGAAGCATTTAATTAATGCCACGTGTACCATATTTTATACGTTATAATACGTTCAATATTGAAGAATTTGTGGAATAGATGTGTTTTATAATATGTTCAAAATTGAATAATATATTAAATAGATATATTTCATAATATGTTCAAAATATTGAATAATATATTGAATAGATATGTTTCATAATATATTCAAAGTTGAATAATATATTGAATAGATACTGTCTCTTATACACATCTAGATGTGTATAAGAGACAGTATCTATTCAATATATTATTCAACTTTGAATATATTATGAAACATATCTGTTCAAAATATTATTCAACTTTGAATATATTATGAAACATATCTGTTCAAAATATTATTCAACTTTGAATATATTATGAAACATATCTGTTCAAAATATTATTCAACTTTGAATATATTATGAAACATATCTGTTCAAAATATTATTCAACTTTGAATATATTATGAAACATATCTGTTCAAAATATTATTCAACTTTGAATATATTATGAAACATATCTGTTCAAAATATTATTCAACTTTGAATATATTATGAAACATATCTGTTCAAAATATTATTCAACTTTGAATATATTATGAAACATATCTATTCAATATATTATCTGTCTCTTATACACATCTAGATGTGTATAAGAGACAGATAATATATTGAATAGATATGTTTCATAATATATTCAAAGTTGAATAATATATTGAATAGATATGTTTCATAATATGTTCAAAATTGAATAATATATTGAATAGATATGCTTCATAATATGTTCAAAATTGAATAATATATTGAATAGATATGTTTCATAATATATTCAAAGTTGAATAATATATTGAATAGATATGTTTCATAATATGTTCAAAATTGAATAATATATTGAATAGATATGCTTCATAATATGTTCAAAATTAAATAATATATTGAACAGATATGTTTTATAATATGTTCAAAATTGAGTAATATATTGAATAGATATGTTTCATTATATGTTCAAAATTGGATAATATATTGAATAAATATGTTTCATAATATGTTAAAAATTGAATAATATATTAAATAGATATGTTTTATAATAAGTCGAAGACACTAAAGAATACATTTCCCCCAAAAGAATGAAGCATGATCAAAAATACAGCGTGCGTATATAAGCTTCGTTACATCTGCAATAATTACTAATTATGTATAATACATCAATCTCCAGTAAAAATATCGAATGGTCAAAATGAAAAGTCGAAGAGAAACGGCTCGGCACGATACTTGTTACTCTTAGCCATTTTAATTCTAAATTCAAAATAGTTCTTCCGACTTACAGTACCTCCATTTTGCACGACTCAGGCATATCTTATTCATGTGAAATCAAGCCTTGAGACTCGCACACTACTTTACGCTTTAAACGGTTTTCAAAGCGCGAACAAATCTGACAACGTTAAAATTATTTCGAGACGTGGCAATTTTAAGCGGTGAATCATAGTCGCGACTCGATTGCAAAGGGTTAACCCGCGCCTGCTGTATCCGCCAAGAGCCGCGCCAACAGGTACGCGCGTGCACCCGCGCGCCCTCTCTCCCCGGACTTATTTATTCATTCACTATTTACGGTACAATTGTATTATTAGCTTTCCCCGGCCTCCCATTCCCCAAATAGAATTAACCGAGCCGAGTAATGTAAATGGCAGTGCCCCGTGCCTCTTGCCGTTTAAATATCCGCTCGGTCTCTCGCCGACCGTTCCACCGGCCACTTCTGTCCGCCGGGCTCCTCGAGACCGCGGCGTTAAATATTAAAAGGAGACCAAGAAGAAGAAGAAGAAGCGAGGGGGGAAAGAAAGAAAAGAAGAAGCAGTCAGTGGGAAAAAAAGAAGAAGCAGGGGTAGAAGAAAAAAAACAAAGAAAAGAGGAGCAGCAAGCCGTGAGAAAATGAACGCGGAGCAAGACGATGCGTCAGCCGTCCACGAGGGTCAACACACGAAAAGAGCGACAATAGTCCGCACGCGACACCGTCCGCTCCAGGAATTGATCGGCGTATAAATACGTCGTGTATGCCCGTCGATCGCCTCCGGTCCCCCTCCCATGCCTCCGGCAACAGCCTCGACGATTCTATCACGTATCTATTACCCTCGTCCGAGGGCCCCGAAAGCCAGGCGTGAAAGTCGTACGACAGAAATTGGTAGCGATGAGGCCGACGAGCCGGTGACGTGTCCATTAATACGCGTCGATCGTCGGACACGGTGTCGTGCCGCGATGTACGCGGGGCGTTAAAACATCGGGACGGGGAGCGTGATTCATCCGGCTGGTTCGATTGTCTCGCGGGTGATCGCACTTATCACGCGGGAATTCATTATCCTCGGCCGAGGACAAATCCAGCTGGCATCGGATTCCGAGGGTGCGTACAGGCTGTCCGAAAAATGTCTCGCAATCAGAAAGTGGCGGCTTCCTCGGGTCATTCGAAG